GAAGTTGAAACCCTGAGTAAAATGATTGTTCTTTGTTAAAGACAATTTAATTTAATCGGTGTTTTCCAGAATCATGCTGATCTCACTGCACCTACGATCTCAGGCCCTGGGAGGAGGCGTCCAGCGCCTGCGATACGGCAGCTGAGAAGGCGGGTGCTGCGGCCAGTACACCGCCGGGCAGCCCGGGTCACCGAGGTGGGCCGGTATGAGGGTCACGCAGAATCGTCGCGTTTGGAAACGAACAAGATCTACAGGATACCTGAGCTTTGATGTTGTAGGTGTTTGATTAGCAATTCAACTGATATGACCAGTCGAATGTCTAGGTCTAGATGTTGCAGAATGTCTAGGTCTAGATGTTGCAGCAAGGAAGGTATGACCGGATGAATGACCAGATGAACAGGTGGAGAGTTGGAGTTGGTTGTTGGAAGATATATGTTTAATGCATAATGACGTGATTCGCATTCCGAAGAATTGCGTCATCTAGTGAAGAACGATCAACCAGTAAAATATGCTGTAAGGTTTCAGTCAAATCTCCGAGTGAGTTGGACCCGGCCAACTGAGAATGCAAAACCAGGTGAGTTGGTTTCAATTTGTTTCTGGCGGTGTGTCCAAGCTGGGGAATGGGTCAAAGATGGTCAAAGTGGTCCATGAAGATACGCCTCCGGGGAAGGTATATTTACATTCCGACTCACTCGCATGGAGGTTGAAATCCCCCGCTGTTTGTAGAGGACAGTCACATGAAACAAGGGTCCAGAGTCCAGAGTAGCCACTTCGTGATGTGTAGCCACTTCGTGGTGGTGGTATGTGTCCAGAGAGATCACATACCACCACCATCCAGTCTGGGTGTCCTGGCCTACTCTACAGACCGAGGTGTCAAGGAACACCCAGGTCTGGGATGGTCGTACCTGAAATCCGTCGAATGGTGTTCTGTGTCGAATTTTCACGCTGAAATACTTGGAGGTGCAATGCAGGCCCCGGCCCGGCCCACGGAATCCCCATGGAGGTGCGAAGATGTACGCAGAGCAGCAGCAGCGCTCGTCATCGTTCGATGAAGAATGCCTGTTCGGGTTTCACAATGTCATCGTTATTCGAAGACTTTTTGCCAGTTGCCAACAGATCCAGCACTTGGTAGAGGCTCTCCAGTCCAAAAGCAATGTTCGTTTGACCAGAATGCAGATCGTCATGACCAGCAAAAAAACCGGCCCGCTGGATGTATGTCTCAGACACTTGACACCCCAGGGCCAGTCATCCCTAGGTATGTTGTTCATTTAGTTCATTTGTCAGCCAAGGTTCTCCTAGTGTTCCCAGTTTGGATGCGACCCTCCCAACTGTCAGGCGGTGTTTTCCCTTTGCCTCCACCCTCCCAGGGGTGATGCTGCGCACTTGCTGACGGAGGCACTCACTTGGGGGACCTTGCGAGTCATCAACCTGGACCTTCCGGTCCAATGGAGTCAAAACTTCAGATACAACATCTGCCCTAGGGATTTGAAACCCCAGACCCCTCCATATGAGACCCCAGACCCCTCCATATAAGGTTCCATGAGCGTTTGGGTGGGAAAGAAAACCACATCTGGGGGGTTCTTAAGTTCCATTCGGACTTCCTTCATCATTTGCATGCGGGCACTTACTCAAAAAAGACACCACCAGATTCCTTGCCACTCTTTGCCACGGGTCATTTTTCGCAGCAGGCGACCTGTAGAAAAACAATCATTTCGAACTAAGTTATATACAGTTATACATCGTAAGGGGCCATAATAACAAACAGCTACAGTTACACGTGTAAGAATACATGTATACATTTGATCTGTCCTACCTGTAACAGCGTGTAACAGTCAACAATCATAACGATTGTTCAACAAGACCATGGAACCATCATCCACTGGGCCTCGGTGGGATCGCCATGTCAATGTGTACCGATGCTCCACCGGTTGCAGGTCCGCCCCGTCCACCCGGGCCGTCCGCTGCCAGGCGGGGCATTGCTTGGCCCAGCTGGGTCGTGCCATGGTCATGACCCCCGTGCGCCCCGGACCGGTGAGTGACGTGGGACGGGACGAGGAGGTACGGGACGAGGGACGGAGCTGGTTTAAGGGCTTTTGGATGGTTTTTGCGTGGTCAGGGAGGGTGGTTCCAGCTGGAGTGATGACTACTGAGACTGGAGGAGATGGCATGTTTCGTTTGGGAAGGCAAGGGATTGTGAAATGAACTGTCAACCACCAGGTTTCAAGACATCGCGAAGATCCTTCCTCATCTCAAGTGGTCGTTTTTGGGTTGATGTTTGCAACAGGTGTTCAACTGCTTGTTCATGGTACCTGATTCTGCTAGATCAAACATGTGAAACATGTGCGTTTGGAGAGACATGTTAAGTCTTCAATCTGATCAAAGAGTGTATATGCAACATATGTAATTTAGTATACTGTTCCCAACAAAGCCAACAAATGACATGTGATGCTCAATTGAATACCAGAAACTAACCAATAATAGCATTATTTGGGTATTTGTTGATTAATCCTGCCACTAAAACACTTATTCACCTGGGATTTGTTGTAACTACCAAACACACCATGCAGATTAGTATTTGCCGCCCTAGTGTCATATTTTTTGAGATTGTTGATCAATCATATCATATTTGCTCATATCCAGCATGGCGTTGGAAATATTCCACACAAAGGAGGGCCAGGCGATACAAATGTGCTATCCTTCAGCCAAAAGCCTATCTTACTGCGAGGCATCCCTGTTAAGAGGCAATTGGAAGCCCAACAACTATGGCGTGTGTTGGAATGGAAACATTGCTGTTTGCTCAAGAGGCATCTTTTGGATGAACATGCAACTCTGCAAAGCTGCCCGGCACTCCAAAAACTGTATACCACAAACATTCCACAGACCTATACTTTTCATCGAAGATATGGTTTCTGCGACCAAGTCGCAGGTGGGAGGGCCTTCTTATCACCTCACTCCCGGCCAACGTCGAGAACCCCACCTTTTGAACCGGTCGCAACCGGTCGCCCCTTTCGCAGCGACCTTCTACGACTGCAAGACCAAGAGAGGTTAAGTGACCTGAACTAAGACCTTACTGGGGTACCTATGGGATAGACTATAGTATAGGGTCCTTCAACCTTTGTTGGTATGAAATGCCTAGCTTTCGTCCCCCAAGAGTTTCATGTTGGCCGTCGGCCGAAGCTACGGGTCACAGGCCGTCACGGACGGGTCGTATGGTGGGAGACCACCCGTCGCCTAGGCGACTCGGAAGCATGAGCCCCACCGCGGCTGCCTTTGTGGCCCGCGGCCCAAGCTGGAGATGAAGAACAACAGACTGCTATATACCTGGACCTTCCACGGGTGTGTTTTTTCTGCCGATGAAGACCCAGGTATGATGGAAACAAGCACGTTCAAAGTTAGTTGATGTTATTTTGACCTCCAAGGGCCGTCCTAAGTGGCTTGCCAGGTATGACAGTCATTCATAGTCATTCTAGCCATTGTTTCAATTGTCGACTTTGATGGGCCATAGAGTACACACAAGGAAGACTGAAAGAACATGGAAGATAGAGAAGTATATACTTCAGCTGAGCCTCACACAAGATTGAAGATATGATAGTACAAAAGAGTTTTTGGGTGTGTTTGGTGGTGTGGGATGTGTCGCCACACATTGTGAATGCTCGTGTTTGCGTAACGAGGTGGGTTTCCGAAATCCTGGTCTTCTTGAGGCACCGATCGTCTTCCAGGACGAAGCATGGGTGATGTGGAAGGCGTTCGAAGTATCCAAGCCGACTCGCACGGGACAATGGACACTGAACGAAGTGCTCCCAAGAGACCAGTTTCCTAAACAGCTGCAACTGATGCTTTCCCATTGCAAGTCAACGTCAGTCTGTTGGAGACTCCAGGACACACTGGGACACACTTTCTCGAGTTTTTGTTTGAATTCTTGAATTTTTGAGGCATTGTGCTCATGAATTCCAACAAAAAGAGAACTCAAGAGTTCTCGTGGAAGAGTTAGAACTCAAGAATTCTTCCAGCTGACTCTTCGTCGACCAAAGGAGGTGCTCAGCGGACTCGATGCTCGGTGAACCGCCTTCCCGGTGGATCTCGTCTCCCGAAACCGTTCACTCGTCTCATATAATAATCCGGGCTCGCTCCGGCTCCCTGTCGTATAGCAGATGTTTATGTTGCGTGAATATTTACTAGTGATTGAGCCGTTGGATAAGACAAATAGACAGTTGATGACAGTTGATGACTGTTTGCAACTTCTTGGTTTTCCCAGGAGGTCCCAGTGTCACATTGATGTTCAGGAGGCTTCTATGCCCAGATCTACTACCATTTGGATCCATTTGGAGTTGCATGGTTAGAAACTTCCATGCCTCAAAAGCTGTTTCTGTGCCCCAATGAAGGCTCATAAAGAAGGATCATGTCAGGTGGCTTGTGAGGATCCTCATGTCAGTATCTCCTATAGATCCAATGACATCTATCATGTATCCCAGACACTCCATGGGACTGCCATATATGATATCATATATATGCGGAGGGGTATTTATTTTTGGAATTTTGTTTGTTTCTTTTTTGGATTTTTTTTTGTTTTTCGTGGCTTCTGGCTTCTGGCTTTTGTGGCTTCTGGCTTTTGTGGCTTTTGGCTTCTGTGGCTTCTGGCTTTTGTGGCTTTTGGCTTTCGTGGCTTCTGTGGCTTTTGGCTTTTTGGCCTATCCATCTATCTGTCTATACCTATCTATTTATCTATCTATCTATCTTTCTTTCTTTTGGCAGCTGTTCTCCCTTCTCTTTTTGTATTTGCTTTTCCTGTTGTTTTCGTTGCAGAGACGAAACCAAACAAGGAAGCAAGCAAGCAAGCACGAGCTGCTCACCTTTGGATCTGGTGTGCTGCTGGGGGGGGCGCTGCGCCCCCCCCCAACCCCCCCCGCGCCACGAAATCTGCACTTCATCCCCGACACCCGCGCCTGCCACGAAAACAATATTTTAAGGTGAACTCCCCGGTGCAAAACTTTCTAACCAAGCAAATATGCCTCCTCTATCTATCTATCTATCTATCTATCTATCTTCTTATCTTATCTTATCTTATCTAATCTAATCTATCTATCAATTTATCTTTCTATCTTTCTATCTTTCTGCAGTTCAACATCCACAAAGTACTGCACCTGCCACGAAATCTGCACTTCAAGGTCCACAAAGTCTTGCGCCTGCCACGAAATCTGCACTCCAAGGCCCACAAAGTCCTGCATCTGCCACGAAATCTGCACTTCAAGGTCCACAAAGTCCTGCGCCTGCCACAAAATCTGCACTCCAAGGGCCACAAAGTACTACACCTGCCACGAAATCTGCACTTCAAGGCCCACAAAAAGTCCTGCGCTTGCCACAAACTCTGCACTCCAAGGCCCACAAAGTACTGCACCTGCCACGAAACACGAAAAACAAAAAAATAAAAAAACGAAAAAAATGCAGAAATATATTCGCAACCTATATATGCCTACATTGACCCCTAAACCACCCCAATGTAGGCATATACGGCAGTCCCATTAGTCGTGTATGGGTATGCTACCTCTACCGAATCGCAAGAAACCTTTCACAGAGCTGTGGCTGCCCAAAAGCACCCCCACGAGCGCGACGAGACGACCACCGCGAGGACTCGAATCCACGGAGAAGGACCCTGAGGCAGTTCCTTTGAGGAACCGCCGACGCATCCGACGAGACGGTCCAGACGGTCCAGACGTGACGGTCCAGACGTGCGAGCAGATCATCCATGCGGTCCAGGCGTATGGTGATTGTTTGATGTTCACGAACTGCGCGAAGAAGCCCCAAAACCTGGGGAATATGCTCTATATATTTGTTCCTAGTTCCTTAAGCAAATCCAAGTCATCTCAGATGATCATCCCACGGTTTGATCTTGATGTTCAACTGGGCTCGTCCGGTTGTCCGAATGTTTTGTTATTGCCACGGTGTGTTCGAAAAATTGATTAATATATATAGAGAACCAAAGATGTAGGTCGTTTTCTATTTAAGTTCTCCCGGAGTGGGTGCGATTGTTTGCCGCCAGAGATTGTCTATGAACTGGATGCGGGGTATATATAACATCTATAAATATGAGTAGAACCTCTTCTTGGGCAGAAATTTCTGCCTATATGTATTGAATATCAAAAATATATTACATATCTATAAACCAACCCTTCCGAAGCTAACCCCTCGACTCACCAATTCTGGTCGGTGACCTAATATGCTCATGTTTTGTTTAGCCGTTGGGTGTGTGACAGTTTTGCATCTGTATAAAGCTAACTTGCTGTGCGGGGCAAGCATCCCTTGTGGATGTCATGGGAAGATCCCAATCAACAGCATGCTGTATACACCTCCTTTGTTTTTAATCATGAGACAAGACATGATCCTGTGCATTTGGACCTCATTTTTCCGCGCATGATCCTGGTATAGGCACAAGGTATACACCTCATCGCGCCAACTTGGTGGATTCCATGCGTTTCACCCAAAGATGTGTTGCGCGCTTCAAAAGAAAACGATGATAACGCCAATGCAGGTTGTTCGGGCTTCAAAGTTTCCGAAAAAGGACTTGCTAACCGCTTTGACAGCTTGAATGGGGTTGCCAACATGGTGCGAAATACACAACTCACTCCCTTTGTATACCAGTGCAAGAGGCGGATGTAGAAATCGAAACACTACTCCAACACTCACGGTTGCAGTCGTTTTCAGCATGTGGCATGCACCCTTTGTCCCGAAACAGGGAATAGCATCCGACATTGAAGGGTGTGGGATCGCTAAACAAAAGGGTGGTGACCGAGTTGGAAAAACCTTTTGCATTGCATGTTTCACTAACTTCAGAACGCTTCAAAAGTATGTTTTTCTCTGGAAAAGACCGGGTAAGATGGCTTAACACCTGATGAACAGACCATTTGTTCAGGGAGTTCCTGAACCCCTGCTTCATGTAACACCCTGAAGCCAATGCCCCAGAATGTTCATTTCGCAAACCAGGGACCTGTAATTATAGTTCAGAGACAAGCTCTTTGGGTTCAGTCACCGTTTCGCCATGCCGCGGCAGTTTCATCCTGGATCAACCCGTGTTTGCGTGGATTTGTCGTCCTCCATGGGCAGCGCAGCGAGTCTTCGTAGGGAGGACAGCCTTCAGAAGAGTTTTCTCAGTCTCTTGATTCTGTTTTTTTGTGCGAGTTGGTCGTGGCAGATTGTGTGGAGAGAGAAGACACCAGACACCAAACACCACGAAACACAGCCAGGTTCGGAACGGGTCCAGGTTAGGAACCGTTCCTTGAGAAAACGCGCTTCAGAAAGGCAGGATCTAAACACCTTCGGCATGTCTTTACGGTTTCGTGGAGTTGCTGTACTTGTAGGTTGAGGCTTATATTGGTAAATACATGCATTATATACATAATAAATATGATGTTACTTGGAATTACACATATATGTGTTCAATAGTGTAACAACATATAATATACATACTGCTTTATCGATTTCGGGAATAGTTATTTGACTGCTATATTTGTTTCAGTTTTTTGATAAGTAGTTTTTTTCAATATACTGTAGTGGTCAACCTCACTGCTGTGAGTACGTAGGTATGAAGGGATATGAATGATATGAAGAGTCCTTTGCTGATTCAATATTGAATCAGGGCTTTGGATGTACTATGTGACGGTGATGATACTCGATATGTAGCATTCTGACTGAGTCTGGAATTGGACGGATGCGATCAAACCAGTCAGTGGACGATCGCAGATCACCACCAATATAGGATCATCCAAGGATCACTAGGTGTGGTTTCGGATATTTCTATGTTCAATCCGAAAACCACACCCTAGTGATATAGAAACGTCTTCATAGAAACGTCTTCAATCAGTGGGGTCGATTCTGAAACGTCTTCAGTCGCAGATGATTCGGTCCTTCCACCGGCGCACCGGCGGTGCTCCACCGGTGCGCCGGGGTGTGTGAACGCGACCCACGCGGAACTCGCGACCGGAGTCGACGAAGTGAGAACTTATAACCCAGACTCTCCATGAGACTGGTAGGTATACCTATAGGTTGACCCCTGTTCAACCACCCCAATGTAAATATGCCAGTCCCATGCATTGTCTGGGTAGCATCTGAGTAACATAGAACCTGAAAGGTGGAGTCAACACATGTGAAAACCCACCCGTTTGGGTCTTCGGACTTCATGGTCTTCCGAGTCTGCGGGCCCAGGCCATCCATGCGGGCCCATGTGATCTGTTTGTTTTGAATGTCCAAGAGTCGACACATTGACTTGGTAGAACTGTGGACCTTTTTAAAGAGAGGTTAAGTGACCTGAACTAGGAGCCGTCACCTGGGGTACCTATGGGATAGACTATATATAGGGTCCTTCAACCTGTGTTGGTCAGCTAGAAAGGGGAACTGGAAACCATTGACTCGACGCGGAGGTTCCTTGGAACTAGGGGAGGCATGCGAGCCCAAAAGAGGTCGTCCGGATGTGTGTTGAATATGTTTGATATCTATATATATATAACATGGTCTATCCACGAGAATCCTCCAACCTGTCACCACCAAAAGCAACTAATGCAACAAGCCTGCTTCCAATTTCCTGCTGAAAGCTGTGAGTTGTAGCAGATCATAGCAGATCCTGATCATGGATGATGTTTTGGGGATCGGTTTTTGATCGATTGATGACACGAGCTCCTACTATTGTATCACATCATCCACTAGTTCATGAACACATGAATGATCGTGAATGCTTAGATACGGTGAGATATGGTGAGTAGGATAGGTATACAGCACGCCTCCCCTCCATATATGAAGAGGAATCCAAATTGGGGAAGATTAAGTATCCAGTCTACATGACAGCCAGTCCTGGGTTCCTGCTCTTGAACGCTAAAAAACACAGCTGCCGAAGTTCAGGTCAATTTCCTGAAGTCCCTGAAGCTGGTCTTGTTCTTCAGGGAGATCGAGCCCTTTGGGATTGAACGAAGTACGAAACGTGCTGCGCCGGCCATTCGGAACGAGCGACCTTGCGGAAAGGCTAGGCTATCCATGATAGCTATAATATCAGATAGGTGTTTTCTCTTTTTCTTCCCGTTTCGGACGGCGCCCAAGCACTCGTAGACGAACCAGGTTTCACCTGCTTGGACTCGGACAGGGGTTTGTACTGTATGGTAACAACAGACGTCTCATACGTCTTCTCTAACCGTCTCCAAGCGTCTCCGCCGCTGGACGAATACGGCGCCGGACTTGAGGGTCGTTCCGTCGACCTCTTCGGTGCCTTTGGGGTCGCTCTTCCTCCGTCGACCTGTCCGACCGGCATGACCTCACCGGATCTTTCGTAGCATCCTGTCACAAAGTATGAGAACACAGGTACTAAGGTGGTTTTGTGAGGAGAACGGAGTGTCGGTAGGGACCAGGGATGCTGAAAAGCATCGTATTTTACATGGTTTTGTTGGTGTAGTAGGCTCAAACACACACACACACACACACACATCTCTATAGGAGCACCCCTTCTGTTTTGTGTGCATGACCCAAATCAAGTCTGCAAGTCTGCAAGGCTGATTTGGGGTCAGGTCCCATTTTCCAGGGGTCCTTTGGAGGGTCCTCCAGGTTCAGCGGGAAAATCCGTCGACCCTCGCCAAAGGTACCACGGCTCTCTCGAGAGGGACAGAGAGTTTGATGGCGAAGCACACCAAAAGTCGTCGGTTGTTATGCGGCAGGTTTTTTGGACCTGTTTTTCAGATGCAACCCAGCAAGTGTTCGTGACTCAGTTGAAACACATGAACAGAATTGGATCTTTGTTACAGGGACAAACTATTTTGTAATGTAGCTTTTGGGTGTGCTTTTCGATGTTTGTTGAATTCCTTGCCAATATTCTCTTTTCCTAGATCCGCACAGGGTGCATGCCCTGCCACATCATCCTGAAGTGAGTGACAAATCTAGTTGGGCCAGCTTAATATGGCCATGTTCGATCCAAATAGTGATCAGCTCATGGGATTACTGGCTTAGAGGAACCAGGGACTACTACAGTCGAGAATCGGTTCCAAAAGCTTGATGGTAGAGTCGAGGACCAATCGAGATCTCAGAAGCCAGAATCAAACTTTGATAAATATGGAGGAGATGCTAGCTTTAATCGAAGTCAAATCCAAGGTCAAAACCCACAGTTCATAAATGTTTGAGGACATTTCCGGGGATTTCCAAGAAACACGCATTGTGCCGTTGTCACCTGATCAGGTCCAAGCATTGGATGCCGATGAATGGGAAGCCCAGTTGGGTGAATTCTGCCGAGAATTGAGGAAGAAATACATGGAGGATGGCGAAAATCCGAAGTCAGTGCGGGAGCCATTGGGATTTCAGCTGAGTCGCCCTGCTTCATGAGAGCAAAGAGTGAGGCAGTGAGGGAGGTTTCAGCCGGGAGAATGATCCGGATGCTTTATGAACTTTTTGAGCAAACATGTTTTATAACATGCTTTAATCTTTGTACTTCCAAGAGGGCGGACCGATCGGTCTGCTATAGGTCCTAATCACGGGGATCGAGCTCAGGACAGTTTTTAAGGTTGATTTTGGTGTGTGTGTGTGTGCGTGCGTGCAAAATGAAGCAACCAAGCACCCCTTTTGTCCACGATGGGCGAGTTAAGGGAACTGTTCCTACTTACTGGCTAGAAATGGGAAGACCTGTTTGTAGACTTCAACTTGTCAACCTTTTTGTGGAGCCGAAAGAATAATATACAATATACACACCAACCATTTGTTGGATAGAGGCAAAGGGTGCCGTCATCCAACAAATGTGAGGGAAGATCGAGGGCTTGTTACATGGTCTTTGGAACAAGCCCTCGTTCACCATCTTGGAACTGACCCTCCGAGTGCCACGGTTTGGTTTTGGTCGGTGCACGATTTTGGTCGTTGCAATTCATGTAGAGGATTGCATCCACCTATTTGTTGAGGTGGTTGTGTTTGGAAGATCTCTGGTGTTGTTTGAGGAGTATTATTGTTCTTGGTGATTCATTCAGCTGGTCAGTTCATGCCACGCACTACATAATTACACTGTGAAATTCACAGCTCACAACAGGCCTTTGTGCCTTTGTAGCTGTCCTCAACACTGTACCTGTGTTTTGGCTGTCAACATCCAGAACCCATGAGACTGTTTGGTGTTCTGAACTCTGCCCTGCCCAGTTTTTGTTTCCCTGCCAAGTCCGAAGTGGACGGGCACTGACCAGGGAAATTTCTTCAAATTGCTTCGGGTGACCACTCCTGGGCATCCCTGAGCAACCTTTGCGCGTTTGTTCCGAAGGGGACGACATGCAAATGGAGTTGCTGACTTCTTATTTGGGGGATCACTGTACAATATGTATCAATTTGAATATACTGTAATTATATATATATATATTACTTTATATGTACACCTTAAATCCTGTTTAAGCCCTAGTTTGATAGGAAGAGGTCCTATTTTGGGTGGTTGATGATCTCATGAGTAGTTTTTATGCGGTGAGTGGTCCAAATGGTCGGGGACGACCCAACGGGCCACCCCAAGGGCAGCAGCAACGCACTTCGAACTAAGTGCCGAGCTGCTCGCTGTGCTTGTTTTAGAAGTGTTTCTATGCCCCCCCGGCTGGGGCCAGGCGTGTTCAGGACCAGAAACATGT